TGGTGTTGATAACACACTGATGTTTTGGTTCTTGCTAAGTCATGTTTATCCTAAGACTAGGACTTTGTTTTTTTTCTTTTACTCATTTTTTTTCTAGTCTAATTCTGTATTTTTTTTCTCTATTTCCAACCTCCCAGAGCCCCAAACCCCTTCCCCAGGAGCAGGATCACCCTGCCTGGTATTTACACCAGCACTACTGGGGTTTCTGGGCCACCAGTTAAATATTGCAACTGGTCTGAACCTTTGTGTGGGACAGATCCCTGTAAATAGTCAAAGCCAACAGAGACTTGAAGGCAATTTCCTATTTATAGCAATTTTTTTTCTGGTTCAGGTGCAGGGGGTGAGAGAATAACACATTGTTACCCTATCACCACTTCAGTGTTCATGAACAGTCAGAACCATTTCAACTTGAAGGCACTGTGTCTATTTTGTAGCGTTTTGTACCAATCCTGTGTGGTAGAAGCGTGGTAGGTTTATGATTTTAATCAACCGGGTTAATTCGCTTTATCCAGCCCATCGGCTCTATTTCCACCACCCCTGGACAGGCTTTGTGGACTCTGGTAGCTGTTCCATAGGGCAGAGCTGAAGCCACTGTAGAATCCAGCTTGTTTTTGGCTCAATTTGTCTGTTTTGCACCGCGGATTCTACTTTTTGTATGAGCAAACGGAGCGTCCGAGATTCGCCGCCTCCAGCCTGGGACCACTGTCACATTTTGTATTTCTTGGATAAAACCCAATAAACCTCGTTTCAATGAGTCTCAGCTCTTAGTGTGTTTCTGCTGCAGAGCCCCTGAATCCCAAATTTCCTTCCCCCTGTGTTTTTATCAGTGCTCCCCCCTCCTGGAGAGGGGGTTTGGCACCAGCTCAGCTGGTACCTCCAGCCCGTTAAAGGTTGGAAAAGCTTCCAAGACCCAGTCCAACCGATGGCACCACAATATTCCTGCTCTCAGGAGGGTGGGACCAGTCACACCAGGGAATATGTGAAGAGGAAAGAGTCCAAGATTCACCTCACTGCCCATGGAAAATCCTGCAAGGAAGTTTTTCCGCCCTGCTTGAGGCATCACCTCAGGTAAGGTTGATGTTCACAGGATAATTAGAGCTTAAAAACATCCTTCATGCTGTGATGTGGATTTAGCTGAGAAATAAGACTCAGGGAGCTGAACAGGTTTTGATCAGGCTTGAAAGGAAGAGATTTGCTTACTTTCAAGGCCAGTTGCTGCTGGTGGAACAGTTGTGTCCCAGGTAAGCTCTGGGTGGCAGCCAGACCTCCCCCTGCTCTGGGGGAATAGCTCACCCCACAAGTGCTCTAAAAACAACTAGTGCAGCTTTTCTAGAACTTAAGTAGTTGCCTAGTAATAATTCCAGGGCACAAACAGGGATTTTTTTTGTCTTCTCACACTTTATTTAGTTAGCCTGCATTACTCACTAGTTACACACTTCAGAACACAGCCCAGGGAACCTCCTGTGTGC